TACTATCTGAACTTTTTTCATTCCTATCAACAATTACCTTTCACACAACAACAAAATCATGCCAGAAAGACTACTATCTGAACGTTTTTCATTCCTATCAACAATTACCTTTCACACAACAACAAAATCATGCCAGAAAGACTACTATCAGTACTATTAGCTAAATAATTTTCTACTTATTTTATTCCTACCAACAAACCATTATCTATCACACAACAATGACATCAAGCCAGAGGGACTGCTGAGCACTAATGGGATAATACTAACCTGTGTATTCTCAGCTTCTTTCATCTCTGCTAGAAGTTCATAACCCTGACGAATAACTACAGCAGGTTGTCCACACTGCTGAGCAACTACCAAAACAGACAAACGTACACGATGAAGCCATTCCTGGCACGTCCCTTTGTTGGTACGGAAAAATGTTCTCACAGCCTGCAATTAACACATGTGGTTAATTAACAGTGGTTGTAACTTAGCAAATCATGAGTGTAGCTTTGGTAAGTTATTATGAAAGTACTTAAGAATACTCTGACCAAGTCATGATGATACACTTTGCTATATCACTATACACATATTGGATCATGATCAAAACTAACTGAATAAACAAAATACTGGATATTTTGGTTGTTAGATAAAAACTTCTGTACATTTCTGATTTCATATAAAGTAAAAATAACATCAGAAATTTTTAATACAATGTTTTGCTGGCTCTATTAATTTTTTAATTCAAACCAGAAAATGCACATTCAACACTATTACACATCTTAACTCTATGATCTAAAAGTGCATCAATTTGATAACACCTGGTATCACAAAAACAAAACCTAAGAATACTGAATTAAAGTGAATGAAACTTGATAAAAACTTTCTAAATAACATCAATTAAGTGTGTAGAGAAAGTCATACAAGTTGCTTTAGGATTCATACCAATATGTGGCTTCTAAAATTTATGAAAATTCACTATAAAACAGCTTTTATAAGAAAAGTAAAAATAATAAAAATACTTCATTTTATCTTCACATTTACACCTTTTTAGGTTATTAGCCTAAAATCTAAGAAAATATCTAATAAATCATTATCATGCTCATATTATTGTTGGCCACTGTTTGTTATGTTTGAGACAACCAGACACACGCTGAAGATCATTAGTGGTGAATTTACGTGTATTTCAAACATAAAATACAATTGAATAATGAGACTCAAGTGAAATTTTGAAAAAAAAAGATTGACTTGAAAAAGCCCTCTTACACTTTCCCTTACCAGTTATTTCTAAATGTGTTTTTTATTCATATTGTAGATAATGAGCCTATATGACTCTCATATATGTTTACTACTGAAATACTCTTATTTTCACAATGGTATGCTTACAGTGTATACTTTGACTTGTGTCAATTCTACCCATTCTGTTCACTTACCATGTATCACAGGACCTACTCAGTAAACATGATTGTGATGAATTAACTAATTTAAATACAGGTGTACCATCTTCTATTTTCACGATAACAGGTTAGTGATAATGGCGAGAGACCCACAGTTCTGTTTATTCTGTACCATTGTCAGAATTATTTTTTGGTAATTGGGCTTTGGATTGGATTAGTTAGTTGATGTTTTGATACTTTAGAGGAATAGGCCATGGAATATATAGTCAAAATTATTCTGTACCTGCTTCTATAACTTATGATGGAAATGTGGTCTTCATTTCAAGGGTATCTAGAATTTAGGCCTACTATTTGTGAATAAACTATAATATCTGCTACACTAAAACACATGATCCTACTTGTATTTTCCAGCTACAATGTTTAAATTTTGCATACCAGTATGCATGTGTAATGCACTATCCATAACTGACAAGTTACATGACTGTAATACAGTTGCAGTTATCTGGATGCAACCCATGCAATAAAAGTACTATTTTCTAAGACCAGGAAAATGTATACAGCATTTATTTATGAGAACTGGACTTCGAGTTTTTTTTTCCCAATATGTTCAAGGAATAGTGAAATAAGCAAAAAAAGTATCCCCCCCCCCCAAACACACAATCTTTCTCCCCAGATTATTGAAATTCTTGTAAACAACTGCGACAATATTAAAATGTTAGAAATCACTGATTTTTACACTTTGTGTGACCTTCCATAACATTGTAAGAGAAATAATTCAACTAGTAATTTTTTTGGTGAAATTTACCTATTCATAAAATGTTATATTACCTTTGGTAGTGTTGGAAGTGCAATAGCACAACCTTCATAAGCATTATACATCAGTTTCTCCAAATGTTCCATGAAGTCCAGCAATAGCTTCACTCTTTTCAGGTCAATCAAGTTGTTTTCTAACAGTATTAACAAAAAAAACAAAAAACAATTCTGTTGAATAAAAACAAACTTGTATGGCAAACTTAAAAAGTAAAAATATTCTCAATATTAAATTATTTGGTTTAATTAAAATATATATATATATATATATATATATACTATAACAATAAAA